TTTTTAAAAATCGGCTGATCGATTTTATTATGACATTCCTAAAAGTTCCAATGTAGAAAATGAACGAACTTAATCTTACAAAGGATTCCGAAATTTTAATAAAAATTCGACTAAGCCGGCTAAGCCGATAAAATTTTATCGGTTTAGCCGGTCTAAAAAATTTTGATCGGCCAGGATCACTAATAACGATAAATAATATTTAAATATAATTACCATATTTTAATAATATATTATCTAGTAAAAAAACACCACTTTTCTACCGGTGACAGTATTTAAAGAATTGTAATGAATAATTTACTCAACTAAACTACTTAAATTTTTACCGGCATATATTCAAATTTAAATAATCTATACGATTTCTCTTGACTGAGAACTAGCTAAACACTGTGTCTAAAGATTACCCCTTGCTATAAAGTTACCCAAATACTGTTGAACCTAATTCTGTCCAAACTAATTGTCAAAATTGATAAAAAAAAAAAAAAATTCTATTTCAATATATACAATTTTAAACACTGCTAAACTAGTTTTGCCAATTTGCATGTGCCGAAACTACCAGGTTTGGGTCTCATCACTTGTCAAATATAAATCCTGATAAACCTCTCAAATCTGATTACCACATGCATATCGGGTCAACAGTATATAAAAATTAGACTATCAAGATCACGGGATTATAATTACTAATGCGGATAATTTAGTGTACGTTCCAGGAAAGTTGAAAAGAACTTTTCTATCTGTCAATGCGATGTTGCAGATCCGATGACGCACGGATGCCATCTTATTATAAATATGTTCTTTTTAACAGGCTGTTAAAAAATTTAGGTCATAGCGATAGCAGAAATCCGGTAATTATACCACTGTATATATCAGATATACTGTTGACCTCCCTAACGCTAAACCGATATGCGTGGTGGCCTAGATTTTGATCAGTTTTGAGAGGTTTATCAGTTTAAAAATATTAAATAGAAATTTTTTGACAGGAGAGGTTCAACAGAGTATATACCAATTTGGAGACTGAAAGATATTACAGAACAGATAATAAAATTGAAATCATTTAATTCATATAGTTTATACTAATTATGAACAAAAAGTATACGTAGCATTTTTTTCTAAAAAAATTAGTCTATACAGTATTTCTTTTCTCTATATAATATTGCGTTTGCAATCATATATGAAGCTATATTATCTATTCGCCACAGTAAAGTGTAACGTTATACAACTATAAAAACTTTCAATATTTCTCCTGAATCCATCATATATATATATATATGATCATTCCGTGCTTAAACACAACTTGTTGACAATCCTGCAATAAAAAAGAAAAAAAAGTCAAAATAGATTTGAATCTATAAATTATATTGTTCAGTTTCATGTTTATTTTATCGCGGTATTTTACCTAAAGGTGAATATTCAAGCATAGTGCATTTACAATTATTTATTTCTTGAAATTTAAATAGTTCACATAATTTTTTTTTTTTTTTTTTTTTTTTTTTTTTAATTAATAATAATAATAAAAGGAAAAAAACGCACGGATTTTGTCATCATGATATCTGCAATAAATCTAGTCAGTCCAAATAATATATAGTCTCCTAGCCCTAATTCTGACCGGTTTGTAAATAGTAAAGTTAAGCATATTAACAAATCAATAACTTTTTGAAAGGTACGAAGACTTGCAATGAGTGCATGGGTTTTTTTGTCTTATTTTTTTAAACCCATAAGTGTATATTAAGCCAGTGTAGTTTGGGGGTTTTTTTTAAAGGAGGAAATTATGATGTATGTAGTAAGGTAGGCCTTTTTATCTTCCATTTTCTCAAAATCTTGCAAGTGGTATGGACTAACAAAAATTGAAATTTATAGCATATAATTACACGATAAAAATCCTCTTTTCTCAAAAGTTGTCTCATAAGTTCGTGGAAGGTGGGAATGAAATTGATATACAAAATTTATCTATAATCGAGTCCTGCCCAAGTAAAGAAACAAGACACAAAAGATTTTCCATGATTGATGTTATGTACATATGTTCTCCGTCAAAAGTACCAACATTAACTCTAACCCAATATTAGTCATGTGATTTTGCGATTTCACTAAGCAGGCGAAATGGACAGGAACGGTGCAAAATCACATGACTATTGAATAAGGTAAAGGTTGTTGGTCACGTGAAAATTCCCGTAATCACCGTCTTTAGACTTACAATGTCCAAGATTCTCTAAGCACAAAAAAATGAAATATAAGATCATGTGATTCAGATGATCAAACAACATCTACTAATCAGGCTAGGGTTCAATTATCACTCATACTATCAACAAAATTATTAATACAGTTTTTAACTGATTTTGAACACACAAGAAGTATTAGAATCACAGGGTATAGATGTACTAGCTTTAGTAGTCGATGATATATTCCTTTGTATTTTAGATTTTGATTTTGCATTACTTGGTGCTCCTAAACAAGTAGCATCAATATGTGCTTGCATTCGAGTAGCAATTACTCGTTCAAAAATTTCTTGGCAATATTTGCATTTTACACGGGGATGTGGCTTATTATCTTCAACTTGATCTTTAGCTTGAGTTTCAGTTTGGTTTTCAACTTGGTCTTTGGTTTGATCATCTTGATTTCTTGCAATAATTGTCCAATGCCTCCATACGCTACTCTTTTTTTTTTTTTTACCATCTAAAATATATTCTTTTATTATAGTATATATATTAACGAATTTGATTTAAGTTTTAATTAATATGTTACACTGCATATTATACCAATTATACCATCGGATATTAGGATATTAACGCAATCAAATGTAACGTGAATACAGTATTCATAAGTTGCTGGTACCGGTAATTCAATTTTATCAATTTAAACTACTTTCTTTCCAAAACTTTGATATAAAAACTAAGCTTTACATTGATCGATTCTAGCACTAACTATGCGCTTTATTATTTTAATGCTTTATTTGCCAGTTTTAACTTTAGAAGTCGGATCGAAAGTCCGAAGTCACATGATCTGACACTTCTTAATATACATCGTCCAATCATATAAGTACTATCTTATATTTAAATCCAACCCCTCTTATTTGCTCTTTATGTTCTTCCAATAAAAAAATGGTTTCAACCAAGTAACTAATTTTTGGTTTTTTTTTTCAAGAATATAATAATATCATGTCATATAATCTAACGCGTATAGCGTGACCTTTTTACTAGATTACTATAATAATTATCCCAATTATCATCAATTACAATAATTATGCCTTTTATTTGTCATATCTAGCTATAGATACCGGCTGGAAGTCGCTCAAGAGCCTATACGAGCGAGAATGTGTGGCTTCGGTGACAAAGACCGTCGTCCAATAGACCCTCCTCCTGTTATTAAACTTTTGGTGTCTACTACTGATGGAACTCCTGTACTTGGAAGGTAATTAATGTCTCTCTTCACTTTATTAATTCTTTGCATTTCATGAGCATGGACTGACTTAACTCAATAAGCATAAAGGAATAATTCAATATACAATTTCGAGCAATAATATATTTGATTGATCGCGTACAGTAATTTTATATGTTTTATGACGTTAGTTCTATTGACAATTCTACGATGGTTGTTCTTGCTGGATTATGGTCCGAGAATCGTAGGGAAGAACGTAGTCTTGTAATTAATCCTTCGTCTATACCCGTCGAACAGTCTTCTGGCCCGAGCTCAGGTATCATGACATTGAACGCGCCATTAAGCACACGGAATCTTATGGGTCATTGTACTTCATCCGCATATTTGCTCAATGATCATACGAATCAATTAGGAATTTTTTTTATATTTCAAGACTTGTCTGTTAGGACTGAAGGTAGCTTTACCTTGAAATTTTCGTTCTGCGACGTTAGGGAATTAATGCAACAGTAAGTTATTGGTAATTAAGAGGTGTTGATAGCATATTATGTCATCTGATATCTTAATTTTGTGTTACTGCTTTTTTTGAAATCTGCAGATCACAAAACGGATTCACAAGTACTGATATTCATGGAAACGTAGCGGCTGAGGTGTATAGCTCTTCTTTCAGAGTATATTCCGCAAAGAAATTCCCGGGTATGACAGGTACGAAAAGAGCAATTGGGTGATATACAATTTATAATTTATCTTTTCAGGTTTTGAACCAGTAGTAAAGTAAATTTCCGATAAAAAATTTATGCTTAAATATTGTATCAGAATCGACTGCGCTTTCTAAAGCTTTCGCTACTCAGGGAATTAAAATTCCAATTCGTAAGGAAGTTCGCTATCAGAAAGCGAATGAAGATTTACTTAATCAAACAAATGAAAGCACTACTTCCTCAGTTACATATAATGTCTCTAATAATGCTTCTAAAGGCAATGATCATGAAAGTTATACCGAAGAAGACCGGGAACTCTCTGGAAATGGTACTGATGTATTTTTCGATACTGCGCAAGAGAAGGAAAAAATCAGTTTAAAATGGCACGGCAAATCTAATTAGCTAGCCGGTCAACTAATCATTTATATTTTACTATAATCACTAGGTAAAACCTTGTCTCTTTCTTGTTCTTTAAATCTTTTTGCCATCAGATTTCTACATTCCAAATCTCTTTCATATTATAGGTTTCCTTTCTAGCGTTATTTTTTTCTTTATTTTGTTTTTCGTTTCGCTCGCATTTTTTTTTTCCTTTTTGTTTTATACGAAATTATCTCAATACACAAACACATACGTTGTGATTTGTGCATTGAATAATTTTACTATACTTTAGACAAATTCGGTCGTGTTAAAAATTTATCCGTGATTAACGTATCCACTCGAGTGTCGTTTAAATACAAGTGGTCAAGTTGGCTGATTGATACGCTAACGTATCCGTCATTTTCATTCTGGAACATGATATGATATGATTTCAAGTAAGTAAAAAAATCAAATGATTATCATCAGATAAAAATAAAAATAAAATGTACTTAAAAAAATTAGAATATCGAAAAGACGTCTTCATCGACCAATCAGAATGCAGAACTATTGATGTCAAAATTCACATGATTTTAAAGCTTTAAATGTGCTTATGTTGAATATGCGATTTGATTTTTCGGGGTCTTTTTTTCAATAAATTACATGAAAACAACAAGCGAAATACTCAATAAAAGAGCTTCTTTAGTCTCCGTATGAGATAAATAAGAAATAAATACTAGTAAAACTGTTATACTTAGCTGTAAAAGAAAGTACTTCGCTATTTTTTGAAACGTTCGGGTATTTTCGGGTAGTGAACGATCGGTTCTGGGAGTTCAGGGGAGAACTGAAGTTTGCTATTTGTTTTGTATAGAAGGATTGTATATAGTGATGCAAAAATTTCAGCATAGTTGAGTTTGGTAAATAGAATAGTTGTAAACTTGAGAATAAGTTTTTTTATCATTGATTCTAGTATATCAAATAGAATTGTTACATTTTTGTTAATATTTGAGTTGCTTTAAAAATTAAATTATTTAGTTAAGAATTTAGATCACTATCTAGTCATATTTAATAAAAACTAGCTTTTGTTTTTTTTTGTTTTAGTTGCTAGTTTGATTTTTTTTTCTGAAGTAAAGTTATATAAGTTAGTTTAAGAATATCAAAAAGTTGTTTAAATAGTAGAGTTTGTAGTTTAGTATTAGATTTCATTTCATCAAAAATAGAAAAGTTATGAAGCTAATTAAAAATAGATTCAAGTTTCTTTTTTTAGATATTTAGATTTTCAATATAAGTAGTTTGAGTAGTAGAGCTAGTCAGCTGAGTTTGCTTTGTATTTTTGCTTTTTTCTTTGTTATCAAATAGCAAATTTATTTGTATATTTTGAGTTAGAGTATTTGTACTAGTTGCAATATTAATTGGAATAGAGTCAGTATTAATATTTATATTTGTATTGAATTATTTGCAGAATTAGAAAATTAGTTAGATAGTAGAATTGTAGTACTTGTAAGATAAGAGTTTTGGTTATAGTTAAAGTAATTAGAATAGTAGTAAGAATTAGATTTGGTTAAACTTGTTGAAGTATTTGTTTGAAAGTTGATATAAGATTTTTTCTAGTATTAGAAAGATCCTTAGAAGATAAAGTAGTTGCAGATAAGATATTTTTAGTTAAAATAGCAGTTGTTACAAAATATCTATAATGAATAGCTTCATCTTGCTTAAATTTAGTATTATTTGTAAGATAATACTAATTATTTGTAATTTTATATTAAATAACAAGCTAGAATTTTTTATATATATGTTTATGATAAATTGGAATATAAGAAAAAGGAATATATAAGGTCTAGTGATCTTAGTATAGTAGTTAGGTTGCTAGACTACTATGCAAAAGGTCTGAAGTTCAAATCTTACTGTCGATGAATGTGAATAATTACTCAGATCTTTGTACTCAACTTATAGTAAACTTTGTCTGTTTTTGGAGGTTACAACTCTTTAAATCATATTATACTAATGTTAATTAGATAAGCTTCCTTAAAAATATATTGCAATACTAAGTTTAGATTAGATTTAAGCAAAGTTAAATATCATATAGATATGATATATCATATCTTATGATATTTAGTTTAACTTAAATCTAATCTAAATCTAACTTAAACTTAATATAAACTTAATCTAAACTTAATTTAAACCTAACTTAACTTAAACCTAAATTTAATCTAAACTTAAATCTAATCTAAATCTAATTTAAATCTAATCTAAACCTAATTTAAATTTAATCTAAATCTAACTTAAACTTATTATTTAAATTTATATTTAGCTAAATATAAATCTAAATAATAGGTTTAAATTAGATTTATATTAGGTTTAAGTTAGATTTAGATTAGGTTTAGATTAGGTTTAAGTTTAGATTAAATTTAGATTTAAGTTAAGTTAGGTTTAAATTAAGTTTAGATTAAATTTATATTAAGTTTAAGTTAGGTTTAGATTAGGTTTACATTAAACTAAATATTATAGGATATGATATATAATATTTAGCTTTGCTTAAATCTAACCTAAATCTAGTATTACAATATATTTTTGAAAGAGCTTATTAGAAGTATGAAACAATATTCGAGTTATATTGCATAAATAAATCTTAATAGGATTTACAAGCAGAGGACCTATATAGTAGAAATCTCAAGTTTGGTAAAATAGTATAGATTTTAATGATTAAGCTAGTTAACTCTTGATCTAGTGAAAAATCTGAGTACGAAGAATGAAGATCAAGTAGGTGCAAGTAAGATAGTTGTAAATTTGTAACCTAGTGCTAACCACAAATAGCAATATCAACTTGATTTAGTAGCTAACTAGATTAGAAGGATCTATTTTATAAAATATCTAGCTAGAATCTGAAGAACTATATCTAGTAGAGAGCTATAGCAAAAACTAGGTTCATACAAATATTAACAAGGATCTAATTTAGATAAATTTGTGAAATGAGTATATGACTATTTTGGTAGAAATTATTTTTGAGGTTAATAAAGCTCTGTGTACTTATAATATATTGAGTAATACATATCCTATGAGAATCTAAGCCATGTAGTAAATAGATCTATATATAAATCAGCTGGCTTAAATAGTCAGATATAGTAGTAATATTAGTTTGGGATAGAGGAAAAGGTTAATGATCAAAGTGTTTAAATAGATAACTCATAGACAGGTTGCAATATAGTATAAAACTAACAAATAGCTAATCGTCTGTATAGCAGACTACTTAAATTAGATAATAACTAAAGTTGTACATGTAGCTTGTTATATATTCATCATATAACTGTAAAATATTAAAAAACTATTTATATAATAGTTCTATAATAACAAATTAATAAAATCTAATCAGCTAAAGAAGTGGCTTTAACAACAAAAAAAAAGAAGAAAGAATATATTAAGTAATTTTATCTAAGTTTTGAAGAACTACTTTAGTTTTTCTATAAGAAATATTTGCAATAAAAGAAGTAAATTCAATTACTTTAGTTAAGTTTTGAGTTGTTTATTAGATGAAATAAAATTAGTATAATATTTGTTATAAAGATAGAAAACAATAGCAGTTTTAGATAATGCTTTAATAAAATAAATAACTTTGGTATTACTATGAAGAGTTTTAATAATGTAGTCTATAGGCTTAAAACTTGCAAAGATTATATAAATATTATTATGATTTTCTTTATCAAAAGCTACTTTATAACTAATTAGATAGTTTGTATTAAAGTAGTTAAGATTAAGTATATTAGTATCAATTATAATAAGAATAGATATTTTGGTATAAAAATTATAATAATTTGAATACTTTAAAAAGAACAAAATGGTCTGGTGATCTTAGTATAGTGGTTAGATTGCCAGACCACCATATAAGAGGTCTGGAGTTCAAATCCTACTGTCAATGAATTTGAATAATTACTCGGACCTTTGTACTCAACTTATGGTAAACTCTGCTCATTTCTAGGGGTTACAACTCTATAAATCACGTTATACTAATGTCAATCAGATATTGGAAGTGTAATGTAATACTCAAGTTACATTATGTGAATAAATCTTGATAGAATCTATGAGCAGAGGACCTGCATAGTAAAAATCTAGAGTTTGGTGAAGTAGTACAGATTTCAACAGTCAAGCTAGTTAATACCTGATCTAGTGAAAAACCTGAGTACGAATGATATGAGATCAATAGGTGCAAGTAAGTCTACTATATAATGCAACCTGGTGCCTTGCATTAGTAGCAATACCAACTTGGCTTAGTAGCTAACTATATTGGGAGGATTTACCTTGTGAAATATCTGGCTAGAACTTGAAGAACTATATCTGATAGATGGCCACAGCAGGAACTGGGTTTGTACAAACATCGATAAGGGTCTAATTCAGATAAATCTGTAAAATAGACACATGACCACTTTGGTAAGAATTACTTCTGAGATTAACTGGAGCTCTGCAACTCACAATACGTTGGGCATACACATCCTGAGAGGACCTAAGCTATGCAAAGAATAGATCTATAGCTGAACTAGCTAGCATAAGCAGTTGGTTATAGTGGTGATGTTAGTTTAGAATAGAGGGAAGGATTAATGATCAGAGTGTTTAAATAGGTAACTCATAGGCGGGTTGCAGGTATAGCAGCATAGTGTAGAATTAACAGATGGTCAATCGTCTATATGGCAGACTACTTAAATTAGACAATGACTAAAGTTGTATATATAGCTTGTTATATACTCATCATGTAACTGTAAAACCTTTAAAAAACTATTTATGTGATAGTTCCGCAATAACAAACTAATAAAATCTAATCGGCCAAGGAAGTAGCCTTAATAACAAAAAAAAAATAAAAAGAACAAAATTGAAAAAAACTTTTCAAAAAAGTAAAAAACAAATAAAATAGATTAAAATGATATAAAAATTAAGGCTTTAAGTAAAGTTTAGTAGGATTTTCTAAAAGCTAGTAAAATTTTCAGATCTTATGAGTAGAATCCTATAATCTGAATTCTCTTAAGATTAGAAAAAAGTAAAAAATCTGAGATAAGCTAGTAAAATTTCTGAAATTGCTATAAAATAATCTACAAGTATTTAGAAAGTCTTTAAATAGGTTTTCAGAAGTAGTTTATTAAGTTTTGGTTTATTTTTGATAAAATTTATACCAAAATAAAGCTTTAATATAATAGAATCTAACTCTTTTAATAGCTAAAAATTATTAAATTAGTAAAATTTTAAGATATTTAATAGAAATGAAGTAAAATAGAAATATAAAATATTTCTTTAAAATTTAGTTCGAGAGATATAAATCTAGACTATTCTAAAGTAAAATTTTATGCTGAACAATTTTGCTTAGAGGTTTAAAGATAGTTTACTTAATAAAATTTTATAATAATTTGAAAAAAACTAAAAAAAATAAGAAGTATTTAATAACTTTGCAAATACAGAT